AGAAAACATTTTTTTTTATAGTCACTAGATGGCACTAACAAATTGCTAGAGGGCGCTGTTCCCATGATACTTGATCTGAGAATATAAGGTCACTTCAAAAATATAGCTCTTTAAAATTGATAAATATATTAAATAGCTTTATTGCCAACATAAAAACAATTCAATTCAATTGCCAATGAATATTATTTGAACAAAAAAAGTATTTATATTTTTTTGGACTCATCTGCATGTTTCATAGAGAGATTCAAGACAAGATACACAACAGGAACATATGGTATGGCCACAAAAAGAAGATAGGTGACAAATATTGTACCAAAATATTGAAGAGAAAAATGATTGCTTTACAAGTTAAACTGTCCGGCCATAAATGGCATTATTATACAAACATTCGTTTATGTTGACGAGTCCTGATGACATAACAAAGAGCCTGACGCTGGGTCAATTGGATAATGTTTACGGCGGTATAAGTCGCACATGCCGTACATGTTTACTATAAAAAAACGTGTTTACTTTGCTGTACAGGCAGACTTATTTCTGTGATATTATAAAAGAACTTTGCCTCGGTGTGCCCATATATCAGCCATAATAAAGCCCACACTTTTCAACCCCGGTATTGTATAGACTAATCCCCTTGAGGACAGCACACCATCCACATTCAAAATAAGATGAATACAGTACTTGAGGACCGCAGTAGAAGGCTGTCGGGTCGTGACCTTGTTAGTGAGACTTCCTTTCTAGTTAGAATGGCATACTTGTTGGGCTTCTAAAGAGGCTGGCTTCTCTGAACAAACTGTATTGAGACGGAACCACACCTGACTTGAATTTAAATGAGCATGAAGCTGAACCAACACGAAATTTGGTAAACAAACTCAAGATATACAACTTGGGAGCCGGTGCTAGGTGGAGGTGATCGAGGGCAAAAAAAAACATCTTTAACGGTAAAACTTTCAACAGAAATTGATTTTGATGGCTTGAACTAAAAATTATTCTCTTGAGGTACAGTGTCGAAGTCAAAATTGAATCATCTGTCTACTGGAATAGGTAATCTCAGCAAACATGTGTACTAAAAAACAAATCTGCAAGTCTGGATTTGGGTAAAAATGCTCATGCATTATATTAGATTCTATGCTTCTTCAGAAAACATTCATTCAGATATACAAATAATACAAAGGCATGCTGGGAATGAGCACTCAAGGTTGACTGTATATTGACGAAATGAACACAGTGGAAATCGCGAGTTTCATTTAAACGTGGCAAATAAATGAGAGCATACTGCCTTCCTTGGTTACAGTAAAGGCGGCCGTAGTATGAGATGGCGATTGTCTTGGAGACCACTGAAAATGCACAAATTTTAGGCTTTTCAGGTTTTCTTGGAGGGGGGGGGGGCATTTTCACCATCTGGCAAATATCACACAAATAAATGAGAGCATACTGCCTTCCTTGGTTACAGTAAAGGCAGCCATAGTATGTATGCATGGCTGGTAAGATAAATGATGTGGCGGCCATTGTCTTGGAGACCTCTGATAATGCATAAATATTAGGCTTTTTCAGGTATTCTCTGGGGCGAACATTTTCACCATCTGGCAAACATCACCAGTGACAACAAAAGCCAAAAACTCTCAGAAAACTGTACTATGGGATAGTTGTTAAGACAGTTTAACAAGACTACCTTTACATGTGCAACTTATATAAATTTAGGTGCTCAGGATTTGGGTTTGCGTTGTTTTTTCATTGGCTCTACGACCAGCGTTCCACGACAGCTCACACAAAGCCTATAGAAATACATGGTACATCATAAAATGTTCTGTGACGTAGCTCTGAGAATACAATGTAATCAAAACTTACCTCTAGAGTGGTCATCACAATTTTATCAACTGAAGAGAAATAAGTCTCCCACAGAAACTGAGTCTGTTGCCTTAGAGACAGAATCTCATCATTGCTTACAGTTCTAACTATTGAAGGAATCTGGAAAGAAAACAATTAATTCTATAATAATATTGTACTTGCATCTCTTACATATACCTAAATCAATTACATTGATTGTACACTAAATCATTGACTTATTTGACTGATCTTTGCTATGTCTTTAACTACGGTAACAGAGCAAACCTAGATTTTACCATGTCATCATCATCTTGAGTATTTCGATTTCAAATCATAACCATTTTAATTTTAAAAGAAACTAGTTTATACACTTACCTGTAAAAGTAACCTCTCGTCACCAATAATAGATGCCCTATTCCAATCTATCACCTCTGAAAACGGCAGTTCCCAACCATTGCTAAGCAGAACCGGAATGCAAGCAGCTTGCAAAGACTCCAAGAAACGAAATGAGCCCAATCGCCTTCCTCGCGGCACCAAACAAAATGTTGAGTTGTGCAGTAGGATATGAAAGTCATACCTGGAAATAAACAGAGTTAGAAATATTTAGACCAAAGCATTTTTTCCTTCTAATTCAAGCAGTTCAATGAATATAGAAAGATAGAACAACGCCCTCAACAAAAAATAAGTAAACAACATTTCCTTACAAGGTTTTCCTTCCTTGCATTTTTTTTATAAAATGAAATTGATGAAAAAATCACCTAAATGAAAAGGTAAATTTTAAAATGAAGTATAAAATAAATTGTGTCCAGTCATGCATAAACAGTTTTAGGTTTGGGCACCACTACAGGTCATCAACCTCTATTCCATGGATTGAAAAGGTCACTCAGATGACCTTTCAACTTTGACAGTAATAAGAATATCAAGGGGATAAACTTTGTTTGAGCCGATCACAACTGAAAAACAATCATTAGTCATTTAAAAAATGAATTACTTGTTTCCAAAATACAATTTTATTTTTCTCAAAATTATAAATATATAGTTACTTATTGGAATCATAGAACTAAACATAAAAGATCATTGGGTCAGACATAAACCGTGCCGATTTAGATCTAATTTATTTATTGGCAATAACAGTTTTATAATATGCAACGTATTAATAGAAAAAAAGGGATACAAGAAAAATGTCTAAAATAAATTGGATCAAAAAAAATAATGTAGATCTCATTCAGAAACCACAACAGTCAATATCTTAAGTTTGAATAAATTCTCGGCACTTATCTCTGGGAATCAGTTACTCACACATTCAAGTATTATTTATTGACTTTTAGATTTTTACGAATGGTGCATGTTTCATTTCAGAGCAATTTTAAACAAAATGCAAATTGCAGCCATCCAATCTTGAACAATGCACTTGTATTATTAAAGTGTTTGTGAACTTGATCCTGCCACAGATATAGCAATGTGGAGATAAGTTCTGGGCATCAATATGTATATTCCAGACCCCCCCCCCTCTCAAAGTTCAAATCCTCCATTTTGATACCATAACACCATAATTGGGGCGTTATAGCCACTATTCTGTTTTAATAGATCTGCTGAATGTAGTCAGAACAAACCATCCTCTCAAAAGAAGAGAAAAAGATGGACATGGGGTATATTTTGAAAACCCATTATGAGGTAATTATGTCTTCCCCTGGTAGTGGGAGTGAAACTTGAAAGTCAGCTAGACTAACAAATAAACAAATGCCAACCAGACCTAATTAGTTTTCTTGAAATGCTATCTTGACATGTACATAAATAAATAAACAGTTAAACTGTCTTTTATCTGCACCACACTTGGTGGGCTTTCCAACTAGACTGACATTCATTCCCACAAGACCAAATATTATATAATAAATTATTATTTCAAGAAAACTTCTCAACTGAAGCACATGTGAAAATATTCGCTCAAGTTTCAGCAAAAAATTCAATGAAAAGGGTTGCTACGACTACAGGGTGGCAGACATTTTGGATGCCAGCTGCCTCTTTTCTATTTCCATCAACAGAATTAACTGGAATGTAAACATTTTGGAAAAGATATCCCTACTTTGGCATTTTTACAATGTATTTTGGTGAAAGAAATATCACCGGTATCCACTTTCATTCTTTGAGATTGAATGGCAGTGTAAGGGGGGAAACACTGGATTTAAAATGAACATTGGAATAAACAGTTTGTGTTACAAGAATATTGTGAAAGTCAAACCTTGTCAATAAAACTAGTTTTTCCTTTCAACACATCTGCCCAAGGTAAGGGTACACAAGTTTCGTAAATTAGAAGTGCATCTCCGATAGAAACACATATAAACGAAAAATCTAATTTGTTGAATAATTTGAATTATTAAAAACATAACTCAATTTGACCATAAAAATTTACATAAGCATATGCACTACTAATAGAGAGAATACAGTATGTGGAGATTGGATGATTCAAACACGTTGAAATAGCTGCATGCAATTTAGCTAAAGTGACGACGATCTCCCTGTGAGAATATACATTCTGTTAAATTAGCTTCATCTTGAATTAGCGAAATTACAGATTAGCTATATTAGCTAAAATAACATGCTAGCTAAAAAGACATGTTTTACAGTACTTTGCAAACTAATGGCATTCATATATTTGCAGGCGAGTGTCTAACGATAACATTACACATCAATAAATCAGAAATAAAGTTTAACTTAATTTCTGTGCAAATGCATTGCACTACAGGGGTCATCTCATAGGGTGGTCATCTTACAGTCAAACATAGCAAAACTACTCATTAAAAAGAAAAGCAATAAAATTTATTTCCAACAAATCATCTAGTTATTCATCAAAAAGTTACAAAAATATTTTTACAGGGGGATCAGCCAATCCATCTGTTGTGACTAACCATTGACCTCTCTGCCCAACTTTTATGAATTGTCAGTTAATGGAAATTACAAGTTTATGAAGTTGCTGGACTGGCAGCGAAAAAGATGTAGTGGTAAGCTTGGGCTCGTAAATTGAAGAATTTCTTCTGTAATTTGTCAGTGCAGCGTATAACACCAAAACATTAATACCATCTGGGATTTTAACCTGTAGCCTATATGGAATGTACACTGCAATTTGACCAGACATGTCTTGATTGGTGTCACAATTTACACTATACTGGGATAAATCAACCGCCCTGTCTTAGTAGGGGATGTTAAGTTTAAGCAGATGTGTTTGATATGATCTGCTCACTGCTGCAATCCCAGTTCTCACTGCATGCATGCATTTCTGCTCCTCAGTTCGTTATGAAAGCAAGCTCAGCACAGTAGCCATCATAGGCAAAATTTTTAAATTTGAATTTTTTGAATTGTCAATATCGAATACTCATAAAGTTTTAACATTTTTTAAGATGCTAGGATATTTCAAATTAAGTTTTAAAGAAAACTTTTCAGAAAACAAAAAATTTAATTTGCCATAGATTTTATCAAACAAGCAGTTTCTCAGCTGGGATAGCTCAGCTGTTAGCAATGCACATTTCAATTAAAGAATTGAAGATGTCATCATGAAATGAACAAATCTGAGAAAGGTCTACCTGAGGTACCTATATGTATAATATCAAAGCAATCGGACTTGCAGTTTTCAATAATTAGGTTGAAAATATCACTTTTCACCAAAAAGATATCTTGATGAAATGAACAAATCTAAATGAGGTCTATCCAAGGTATGTACATAAGTACCAAAGCAATCAAGCTTGTAGTTTTCAAGAAGAAATTGAACAAGCAGCCTCTCGGCTGAGATAGCTCCGCTGCTAGCAATGCACATTTCAATTAAAGAACAGAAGATATCATTAGAAAATGAACAATATGTATAGTATCAAAACAATCAGACTTTCAACAAAAAGTGGAAAATATCACTTTTTACCAAAAATTACAAAAATATTCATCAAAATTAGAGAATTGAAGATATCATCATGAAATGAACAAATCTGAGTTAGAACCACACGTAGTACCTATATATGTAATATCAAAGCAATTGGACTTGCGGTTTTCAACAAGAAGTCAAAAATATCACTTTTTACCAAAAGTGACAAAAATATTCACCAAAACGAGAGAATTAAAGATATCATTACAAAATGAACAAATCTGAGAGAGGTCCACATGTAGTACCTATATATGTAATATCAAAGCAATTGGACTTGCTGTTTTTAACAAGTTGAAAATATCACTTTTTACTGAAAAGGACAAAAATATTCACCAAAATTAGAGAATTGAAGATATCATCATGAAATGAACAAATCTAAGAGAGGTCTACCCAAGGTACATATACACCAAGTATCAAAGCATTCAGGCTTGTAGTTTTCAAGAAGAAGTCGAAAAAGTAAAACATTGACACAAACGACGACGGACAATCACTCATATGATAAGCTCTGCTCGACAAAGTCGACAGCGGAGCTAAAAAGTTGATGCAGATGAAGGCGATCACTCATATGATAAGCTCTGCTCGACAAAGTCGACAGCAGAGCTAAAAAAGTTTTGAAACTTTTTTTATAATGGCCAAAAACAAGAAATCTCACAATTATCATTATTAGTACCCCCTCTCTCAAAAGCTAAATTTGGTTGATTTAACCCTGAAAGCTGACAATGACCTGAGAGGCTAGGTGTGGCCGATATGTGCCAGACTTGTTTTGGATTGATGCAGGCATGTGGCATACACATCAGCCATTAAAATGTACAGAAATATGTGATAATGGGTAAGCAATGGTGCTCATTTATAAAGCACTCCCTCTTATCATCACACCAGTCGATACAATGTAACAGACGTGCTCAACTAGAAATGGCTACAAATGAAATAATTTTTTCTCACCAATGACAATTGTTATTTTTACCATTTTGTTTTCTATCCTAATTCACACTCTGTAACTTCTCAAGCGGTAACATTTTTCACAGTTTGCAAGTCAGGGAATTAAAAAAATATATATAATAATTTCACCGGGGAGTCATAGCTCTTACCTGAAAGTCATCAAATAACAGTAATCGTGTTAAATAATCAATAAAATTCACATTTAAGGCACAAAATACAAAAGACTTTGATAAATATTTACTAGATAGTGAGGTTTGACAACAATTTGAATAAATATGGCTGTGTTTTATGATTCAAAATTGGTAATTCTAATGCTCTGAAACCCAAATCTAAACTCAATGCAGATGATATTAAATGAGGACTTCAGCATAATACGTGTATACAGATCAAGTGACCATCTCACCACAGCGGTACCGCATCATAAAGGGTTCTGGAAAATGACATTGGAATGTATCACAGATAGGTTTTTTGACAAATTAGACTAGACAACTGAGCTAATGATAAGCATACACTCAAATATCAACTATGTCTATGGTGGCCATTGGTAAGAAGGGCTTCCCAATGCTTAGGCATTCCTGTGCTTGATGTACGATCCAATTAGGTTATAATAATAAATAATAATAACTCTATTTAATTAAGCGCAACAATTCCAACATCTGAAGATCAAAGGCGCTGATACAATAAACAATCAGTCAAATATTAAAAGCACATTTAAATAAGTGCGTTTTCAG